TTGGAGGGGGCCTGGAAGACGTAGCTGGTGTCTGTCTCTCAGAGAATATGAATTCAAGTGGGAACCAAGAGACAATGTGGGAGGAGGGGCCACGAGTGGGATTGGGAGTGGGAGTGCCCAGTGTCCTGGCTGAAGGTCTTGTTGTGAGTGTACCCGGGAAAGTCTGTGAGGGGAATACAACAGTGTCCCTGGGGGGTCGGGGGAGGGGGTTCTCCAAGGAAGGGAGGATGTTCTAGGGTGTGATGGTTGGGCAGGTCTACATGGGATAAGAATTTAGGGAAATAATGGCACTGTGTGGTGGGCCTCGAGGGAAAGCACATTTCATGAGGGGGGCTAGTTTCAGATTCTGAGAGACACTCAGAAATTATCCGCACACTATGCGGAGCCAAGGTCATAGTGGGCAGGTATGAATGGAATTTGTCGAGGATCGTCTTCCATCTCCTTTCTCCTATTGATATTTTCTGTTCTGGTAAATTCTCTGGCCATTCTAGGTGGAGTAAAACTATCTCTCCCACAATCACGAGGATGCCTTCTGCAGACTCCTTTCCCCCAAAGGCAAAGATTGATGATCACCCCTAAAGATGGTTGAGTTCAGGACACAAAGTGTTTGAAGCGCAATGAGCAGAGAGCACGATTTCTGATTGAATAAAGGACATTTTATTGAGAGTCGAGCGGGTGCAGCGAGAAGGGCTGGGGTGACCCTGCTGGGAGGGCAGATCCGCCCGGAGGTCCTGTGGCTCCAGGCCCCCTTGGGTGAGGGAGGGTGTCGGGGACCTAAGAGCACTCTGTGGGGACCACCTTCTTCTCCACGGTTCTCCCCTCGTGCGTGACCAGGCAGCTGACGCTGCTGTATGATTTCCACTTGGCAGGCGACAGGCTCAGGTAGCTGCTGGCCGCGTACTTGTTGTTGCTCTGTTTGGAGGGCTTGGTGGTCTCCACGCCCTGGGTGACGGTGCCGCCGTCTGCCTTCCAGGCCACCGTCACGCCGCTGGGGTAGAAGTCACTGATGAGGCACACCAGGGTGGCCTTGTTGGCGCTGAGTTCCTCAGAGGAGGGTGGGAAGAGCGTGACCGAGGGTGCGGACGTGGGCTGACCTGTGGGGATGCAGGGGCAGCAGGTCATTGATTCAATTTCCATTTGCAGGAGACCCTGATGTTAGTGTATCAGGTGGGTGTGGGTCTCTAGGCCCAGGGCATGGGCCCTCGTTCAGGGACCAGCCTCTGTCTGAGCAGTTAGTCCCGAGAGGGTGGGTTGGCATCTTCGTCTAACTATTCGGATCCCTCCTGAGTAGCTGTCTCACTGCACACCTGCCATCTGTCCTCCTGAGACCCTCCTGGGCCCTGGACTGTCACACAAATGTCTGACCGTCACTCTCTTGCCCTCTTCCTGTGACATTCTGTCTGTCCCCAGAGTGGATGACATGAACTCTCAAACTCTCTGGGGGTTCTCTTTGGTCTATTGTGATCTGGCATTTCTGCTCTGGGAGCCTCTGGGTCTTTCTTCTGTGGAGACTGTATTTACCCAAATGTGTCTCTCTTGAAGTCTGTAATGGGCCGAGGATGCTATAGGATCACAGTCTGTCTAAAGGTTCTTAGGTGTCCCCTCTGCCTTGTCCCTTGGTGTTTCCCCTGGCCAATCAGTCAATTCAGTAGCCATATTGTGCAATGGGATCTGGCTTTCATTTTGTAATTGGTAGTTTCCCACAAGAGCCAGGAGTCCACCTTTTCCTCACACCCTGTCATTCTATGATCCTATACTGGGCTTCCTGACTGGAGCACCCTTTCCTTCCTGCTCTGTCCTGCCTCTTGCAGTGTTGCCTGGATCCCAAGCCTGTCCAGGGCTGTTTGGCAGCCTGGAGAGGCCTGGGGGAGCCACTCCACCTCTGCAACCATGCTTGGGTCCTGTGTCCCATAGCTCTAGGGACCACAGAACCTCTGACTTGTGTGTCCCCAGCCTTGGACCCAGATGCTGGGTCCCTCTAAAGGCACCAAATGGTCATCCCCCCAATGCTCCCTGTTCCCTCTTCCCTTTTTGATGGAGGACCCAAGTGCCTCCCAGAGATAAGGGTGGAACGACAGGAGGCCAGAGAGGAGAGGACAAAACAGCACATCTAGGACCCTGGCAGACAGATAGAGGAGTTTTTAGGTCATCCCAACCATTGCCTGCCCCTCAGGTTGGAGGTGAGGAGGTGGTGATGACCAAAGAAGTAAGCAGGAAAGTCTTACAGGGAGGGGAGGAGGTCAGGGTCCCAGAGGCTGGGATCCCCGGTGAGAGCATGACCAAGGCTGAGACAAGACACGAAAAGAAAAAAAAAAAAGAAAATTGCCCAAACCTCTGGGAGAGTACGGAAGGAGGGAGAAGATGAGACTCACCTAGGACGGTCAGCTGGGTCCCTCCGCCGAATACCCAACACTGTGATACAGGCTCACACAAAAACTTCTCCCTGGGAGGCCCTGCCCCACCCACTAGCCCCCCACCTGCAGCTGTGATGGAGGAAGTGGGGGCAATGCTCCAGGCTGGCATGTGCTCAGCAGCGGGGGAGGGTGGGGTGGGGTGGGGTGGGGGGTGGGACACATCCCCCACCCCTAGCAGATGACAGGACTAATGACCCCATGTGTTCTGCAACAGGATCCTTGGAAGCAATTCTTCCAAAGGGAGTTGGTATCTGATCTGCTGTTGGTACTGCTATCTCCCAGGATTTAAAATAGTTTGTGGAAGGCCTGTGTGTAATTTGAGTTAGGTTCCATGGAAATGAAGAGGACCTCCCTTCTCTGCATGTTCAAACAATCCCAATTCCTTGGTGACACCATGAGGTGAGGGCAGAGGATGTCCCCTCCCTCCCAAACTCTCCTTTGCAGGGAAAAGCAGGTTGATCTGGGTTTATGTGCCATTGGAAACTTCCTATGTCCCCAACCATCACTCCAGAGGGCTCAGCTTTATCTTCCTGGAAATGTCCTAGTTTGGGACTGTCCGAAGTAAAATCTGGGCTGGTCCTGTAGGACATGCCAGCCTGTGTCCCGGTGACCTTGGGAGCAGCCCCAGGCAATCTCCTATCTGGTTTCATGTTGGGGAGGGTCCGGTGTGTGACTGCTGCTCTGCTTCTTTCAGAGAGTCTTCAATCCCACCTCCCACTAACCAGAACTGGCATCAGTGACTGATTTTGGTCCCGGGGTGGGTAGGCACAGATGAGCTAGAGTATGTTGTCAATCAGAAAGCAGGAGCTTAGAGATCTCCTGGGGTCATGTGCGTGTACCCAGGAGCCATCTGAAGAGGCTCTCACCGGACTGATGTCCATATGTGCAGCCACATTGCCATCGTGCATAGAGGACAACTGTGGTGTGATCCCCCAAACTGATCCGTTTGATCCCAGAGTTTACCAGGTCACCACACAGTGATGATTCAGCAGGAGAGGATGGAGGGAGCAGACAATCATTCTATAACGTGGGGGAAAATAGGGAAGAGTTTACATTTCTTCTTTTCCCTAGATATGAAAGGCGCCATGGAGAGAATAAAGAGCGGAGCAGATGAAGGCCCTCTCCTCATGGGCACGTGCTGCCCTGCCCTCCCAGGAGAAGGAAGACAGAGAGGAAATACTGCCATGATGCACCCTTCCCATCAGATGGATGGAGTCATTGAACATCCAGGTAGTTCATGCTACCTAGAAAGGTCCACTTGACCTGGGTCTTTTGAGGCATAGTAGCCAACTGTTCTGGGTGGTGGTTTTGCCAAGTCTAAGCTGGACCTTCTGATGCCAGAAGTCCTTTGTAGGAACAGGAAGCAGATTGAAGGTTTCGGGGAGGCTGTGGCTGCATATCCTGGTGGGAGAGTCCCAGGACCAGCAGCTCAGACCCACAGCCACTACCTTTGAAGGGAAAGTAGAATGATTTGGGAGATCTTACTGACCCAAGGGACCTGAAGACACATCCATCAATGACACTGTCAAATCTTATTTCATAGTCATAAAAGGAAAAGGAAATACCACCAAATAGTATTTACAACATATACACTTAACCAGGGATTGATATCCAAATATATGAGGAGTTTCTATAGATCCATAAAAAATACAAGGAATCGAATGGAAAAATAGGCAAAATTATGACCGGTAAATTCACAGTAGAAATAAAATCAGTAAAAAAAAAAAAAAAAAAAAAGAAAGGAAAAAACCGCTCATAATGATCAAATAAACAATTAAACAACAAACATATCCTCATGAATACTCATCAGGGATGAGCAAATTAAAAAAAACTTCAACAGTATCACAGTATTGGCAAGGATGTAGAGGAAAGGGCACCGTCATTCATTGCAGTGAATATAAGCTGGGACAGCCTTTCAGAAGGACATTTGGGTACCATATAAGAACATTTCGAAAGCACATTCTCTCTGGTCCAGAAATTCCAGTTTTAGCCATTAATACAAAGTAGATACTTAAGTGCACTTCAAGTACACACATAACACATGCACACATACGTGGGTATTTCCATGACAGCATCACTTGTAATTTATATTTTTAAATGGAAACAACCTAAATGTCCATTAATGGGGGAATGATTACATACAGTCTGGTTCATCCAAATGTTGAAGTCTTACAGAGCCATTATAAGAACATGGGAGAGCCATAAGATTGAGATAGAAAATGTCAGTAACAGACTGTTCAAAAAGCTAGTTGCAGGATAATATGCAGAGTATGATTCTATTATTTCAAAAATAAAGCCCTCCAAACCGACTAGATGTGTTTGTGTGTGTGTGTGTGTGTGGGACATACATACATGGGAGAAGGATTGGAAGTATATCGACCAACCTGACAGTGGTCATCGCTGGAGAATGGGTTTTAGGGTAAGATGTAGATTTTTTTCTTTAATATACTTCTTTACTTAATCTTTTTTTTTTTTACAAGTACATGTTACTCTTATATTAAAAATTATTTTAGAAGATAAAAACCAAATATATCTTCCTGTGAACATTTTCAAAAGTATAGAAAATTAGAAAGCAAAAATTTAAATCAGGTGAAATCCCATCAGCCAGAGACACACCACTGACATTTTTCTATATTTTCGGACAGGCTTTTGAAAATGCACACATACTTTATTTATTTATTTATCTATCTTTAGATTTTATTTATTTATTTGAGAGAGAGAATGAGATAGAGAGAGCATGAGAGGGGGCAGGGTCAGAGGGAGAAGCAGAGTCCGTGCTGAGCAGGGAGCCGGATGCGGGACTCCATCCCAGGACTCCAGGATCATGACCTGAGCCGAAGGCAGTCGCTTAACCGACTGAGCCACCCAGGCACTCTGCACACATACTTTAAAAACCCAATTTCAGAAACAGAGTTTTGGAGGCTTGTGTAAGATTCCTTATGATAGATGTTCCATACTGTATTTGGTCACACCCTTTCTGCTGGATATTTAGATTATTTCGTTTTCTCGCACCATTAATAATGTTGAGCTAGCCATTCTTGTTTGTAAACCTTTGGTTACATCTTTGATTATTGCCCCCCCCCGGGCCCCCCCCCCCATGAATTCCTAGAAGTGGAATCACACAATTTAAATAAATAAATAAGTATACTTTATAAAAATGACTTGCTGCATATTGTTAAAATGGTTACACATTTTAGACTTCTATAGACAGTCCATGAGGGTGCCCATTCCTCCCTGGTCAAACTCTGGTACTTGCTAATTTTAGAGGAGATCTTGGTACTTGGTCCTTCCTCCCATCCCCAGGGCGCAAGCTTTGGCCGTTATCCGTCCTTGGTCCTCTAATCTGGCCTCACACCAGTCTCCTATCGGAAAACCGGTTTCCAAACACGGATCCGACCCTGACAGTCTGCTACTAAATCCCCCCCAACAACTCCTCTGGACCCCAAGATCAAGGACGCAGCGCCCAAGCCACAACGCGCAGCGTGGCGCGCATGCTCTCCCCTGGCCATGGTCAGGGAGAGCTCTGCCGCGCCTGCGCGCCTGCGCAGCTGCGCACTTCTCTCCTCTCAGCCCAGGCGGCTCCCAGTGCCTGGATTGCCCGCCCCACGCGTCAGTGCCCCTGCATCTGTCAGATCAGTTTGATCTGTCGCGGTGCCTGAACATGACCCACTTGGTTCAGGCCCACCCTCTTTGGGTCCCCAGGCCTGGCCGCTGTAAGTAGTTATGAATAAGTTGCAGAGTGGACATCCTTGGCGGAGACTCAGCCAAGCCCTTGCTCCGCTAACTGCCTTGCAGACCACCTCTTCTGTTGCACGATTTTGTTTCAACACAGGACACGCTGATGGGATCACAGTGTTCAGGCCTCGGACTTCTTACAGTCCCGAGACTGTGCCTGTGTGACCCTGGGGAGGTCAACTTACCTCTCTGAACCTCTGTCTTCCTCTGCAAGATGCGGATAACAGCAGGATCTGACTTGGGCTACAGAGAGAGATGTTCCGCCCCTAAAACGGTTAGTGCCTGTGGGCACATCCTGCTCCTGCCTCCCTGTTTCTGTCCTACCCAGAGGACAAGGGTGAGGAGAGGATGGCGCTAGTGCAAAATTTAAGGGGTGCTAATGATTCAATCATCAAGATAAATCATATTTCATACAATATTAAAAGCTAAAAATCAATGCAAAAAAATCCACGCAGGACAAATACCAACACTTTAAATACAGCCAGGGTCTGCCCAGGCCCCTTCTCTCTGGCTGATTCTTCCTTCACCCTCTTCTTCCCCTCACTGCTGCTCTTCTCCTCAGATGCCCACTCCTGGCTCCCACCTCAGGGAGCTCCACATGTTCCCACCATGACTCTTTTGGCTCCTTACCTGTCTCATGGGCTTCGAAAGCTGGACAGGCTCCTTCCTGCTGAGGCTCTGCCCGGTGGTGCTGCATTGGGGACAGTGGGCCATGGGCGCCCATGGCCAGGCTTAGCAGCATTAGGGGCCGGCGCTGCCTCGGGCAGGGCTCTGCCCCCCGGGGGGGCCTCACGGCGCACTTGGCCAGTCTCCGGCCTCATCTGCCCTCAGGGTGGAAGCTCCGCTTGAACTTCCTGGAGAGGGGCCCTCAGTCCCTCTTGCTGGCAGCAGCTGTCCCAGTATGCCTGGCCCACGTGGCCCTGTCTTCTGCCTGGGCCTTCTCTGGTCCTTGCACCCAGTGCCCAGCCCTCTCCAGGGCCCATGGCTGTTTACCCCTGGGGATCTCCCTCAGAGTGACATCTGCCAACTGCCCTGCTGTGGTCAGATCCTGGGCTCCACCTCCTCCCACTGAAGTCGACCCACAGTCCCCACCTCTGGGGCCCTGGGTGGGGCATACCTGACCTGCCTTATTTCCCTCTTCCCCAAGGGTGTCCCAGATCTGTCGAGCATCTCCCTGGGGCTTGAAGGGGCCACAGGGAGCAGCTGAGTGCCCAGTGGATCAGGATATCACCAAGGCCTGATTCCTTGGGGTGGGGCTG